AAACGCTTAAAGGGTGCCATAAATTGTTGACTATGCCGAAAAAGTGGTCCAGCAGAATACTGAGGCTTTGAGGTTTTTCAGACGGTTTCTGGAAAACCTTAAATCAATGTCCAGCTGCAATTGACTTTTTTCTTCTTAGATTAGGCTTTATGAGCTGTCCTGGGCGTTTCCTGAAAATTTCGTTGAGTCAGCATGAGATTGGATCAAGATATAAGGATTTTAATTTTTGCTAGTAACAGGCGAAAAACCGGTTCTTCACAAAAATGCCTCTAGTGGAGTTACTTTCATTTCTACACAAAAACAAATGTTGCCACTATGCTCAACGTAGTCGATTACCTATATTCTATGGCATTTCGAGATTTCTAGAAATGTCTTCTCGGAGATAGACACGTGCTCGGGAAAAGCGGGCTCTGTCCGAACGACGATAGCTGGAGAGCCGGGACCCGCATAATTTTGTTGAGTAGCGTCCGAACTATCCATGCATGCTAAAAGATTACTAACATTGTATGTTAGTTTTCTAAGAACGGAGCTGATTTTCCAAAGATCCTCTTGGAAAACCGACTTTGAACTTTTTTTCAGATTGTTTTGCATGCCTATATGTAAAAAAGTGTAGCCAACACTTTTTTCGATCTGCGAAAACCGGAGATTGATATCTCTTTCTATGGCGGAGTTATTCAAAATTTAGTGAGGGACATTGCTTTTTGAAAACGATAATAGTTCAAAGTGTGCTCTATCGACTGACGGAAGAATTTTCGAAAAAGTATGTAGTTGGAAAAAGTATTAAGAAAAATGGCAAACGTCCTATCGAGCTGATCCGAATTACTTACATGTATTACTTTACATGAACCTTTCAATTAACAAAGCATAATATAATAGAACACATTTCAAACTCTTTCTCAGATCGATGACTGCATTGACCAGTTCTGTGAATTTATGGAGAGTACTCGCAAAAATAGCATCATCTCTAGCCGAAAAATGTTGGAAAATTAAAGGAGCCTGAAAGTAGGGATTCGATGGTAGTATCTAGTTGTCGACTCTACCCGATTTGCTTGATGCCGCCGGGAAACGGATTAATCTGCTCACCTAATTCATTCCCCAGGTACCTGTCTTCAAGTTGCTTTTATTTTCGGAAGTTTATCGACCGGAAGTAAACATCCTCTATTCATTTGGTTTGTAATCGATGAGAGTCCGTTATCAGAATTGAATTCAATCTAAGGCTCATTGTATCGTATCTACCATATAAGTCTGATATTCTGTTCCTTGTATCAAACTCCATCCTTTGTACTCAATTATATCCTAAATATCGGAAGTCCGCTTTTTATCCCCTTGATTATTGAATACCCTCACCCTCGACAGTCGCTTTTCATAATTTTAAAGACAGGACTTGATGTAGTCTGTATTAGATCTCTGTTATTTTTCGTGCGACTACGTATATAAACTACTTTTTGCATAAAATTCTAAGCATCTTTACTCTATTTCAGATTTATTGATTATATTGAAGAGTGACCCTTTGAATATTCATTTCAACTGGTAAGTCATCAATCACGAGCATTCGCATTATTTAATTACTTTCAGGTTCAAGTGAGTTTTCCTTTAACACCAACAGACACAGCACTGCCAAACTTTTCTCATACATCTTCACTTGAAGGTAATGGCACGCTTCCCAGTATATTTTTCGGGTTTTCTGGTATGGCGAGGGGAATTTTTGATCGGAGAATCAGAAAATATCAAAAGAACTCAAAAGTCCCTCAAAATCCCTGAAAATTCGAGTGAAGGGGATTTTTGAAAAAAGTCCGAGTCAGGAGTCGGGGAGAAGCAAAAATACCCCAAAAACTGAGAAAAATCTGCTAATAAATCACCCAAAAATCCCTGCGAAAGAAAAGAAAATCGATGAAAATTTGAGAGGGGGGGGAGTAGTTTCTAGTAGATTTTTGCTTTTTCCAGTAGATTTTTGGATATTTTTTGGTATCGCGAGGGGATTTTTGAGTGATTTTGGAACAAGTGAGTGAATTTTTGATCGGGGAATCAGAAAATATCAAATGAACTCAAAAATCCCCACTCGACGATGAAAAATCCCTGAAAATTCAAGTGAAGGGGATTTTTGAGTTCTTTTGATATTTTCTGATTCCCCGATCAAAGATCGCCTCACTTGTCCAAAATCACTCAAAAGTCGCTGTCACCATATCAAAAAATCCCAAAAATCTACTGGGAAAAGCAAAAATCCACTATCAACCGTTGTTGGATATATTCAACTTTTGAGTAAAGAGTTGCGTAAATTGTCAGAAAAGATTTCTCGATGGTTATCTTTGATGTTTCTAGGTGGAAGTGTAATTGTTTTAGTCAACAATTAGAATAATTCTGAAGGAACGATAACGACCGATCATCAGTTGAACAATAGATGAACAATATTGTATGGAATTAGAGTTGAATAAATGTAATTATGAAAGTGAATTCTGTTGCACAAATGGTATGTGTATTGACAATAGTTTTTCATTTGATCAAATGTACGACTGTATGGATAGAAGTGATGAACAGAATAGTTTTGTGCGAAAGTATCAGCAGGAATACACTTTTTGTCATACAAATCCATCGATTGTTTTTGAAGAATATAATTGTGCATATATGAAATATCCATGTGGGGATGGTGATTCAATTTCTCGGGTTGATGAAGATGATTATATGAACTATGAAACATGCTTGAATGGACGTGATATTTTTCATGAGAAAAGCTTATTCGATACTAGATATGCAGAAGAGGACAATAATAATAGTACTATTTTATGTCGCAAATGTCTGATATGTTCAATACATGAACTAGATGATTATTATGAATATTATAATTTGTCTTCGATTATTTGTCAAGATTTATTGTTAAATGATATAGAGTACGATGAAGTTGAATCTTGTAATGATATAGTATGTAACCATTATTTTGCATGACATCCTACACCTGTTATGTATCCATCTGTTCGTTTTCTCTATACATTTCCTAGTAAGGATGACATACCTACTTTCATATGTTACGATAATACTAAATGTCAATTATATTCAACGACAAAAATTGTCAATGGTTTTTCATGTCGTCATCGAAGTGAATTTTCTTTACATGTTATAGGATACAAATATTTTTGGTTAGATATACAAGTAATCTTTCCCGTTGCGCCATTTCAAATGTTAATAGAAATTGTTCAAATTTATTTCATTGTAAAAATTCTAATCTTTGTATATCAAAATATCGTTTAAAAGATGATATTAATGATTGTCTAGTTTCTTCTAGTAACTTATTCTCTTCAGATGAATTAGTTCCTAATGACGAAGTGTGTAAATTAAATTTAACAAACCGTTTTAAATGTTTAACTACAGATGATTGTATATTACGCAAGTATTTTATTGAAGGAAGAAATTGTCAAGATAAATCAAATGTTATTGTACCATTGACATGTACAAATAAAGATGATTTAGGTTGCCATGTTATTCGAGGTTTGAACGTTTCTGTTGAATATTTTCTTTTCCAAGAAATATGTAAAGGTTTTACTAATCCAAATTTGATTGATGGTGATGAAACAGATGAAACAAACTGTCAAGAATGGGAAAAAAATTGTAATTTAAAATATACAAAATGTGATGGAAGAGTAAATTGTCTAGATGGAAGAGATGAATTAGAATGCAGTCGGAAAGATTCACATGAATGTGAGCCAGGAAAAATCAATTATGTACCGATTAATAGACCATTATCCGAAGACAAATGTTTATCTATAGAACGAATTAATGATGAAACAATTGATTGTTATGGTGGCGTGGATGAAGATATTGATTATTGTTCGAAAACTTACCCAAGCGATTTAAGTAGAAGATTTCGTTGTATAAATAGTTCCGAATGTATTAAAATTGAAAATGTTTGCGATGATCTTAAAGACTGCCCACAGGATGATGATGAAATTATTTGTTCTAGCCGATCACGATTCACATGTAATGAAGGATTATTCGTTTGTTCACCCCGATGTATGACAAAAGATGTTCGATGTAATAATATTCAAGATTGTAATGCTGAATTTTATGATGGTGCTGATGATGAAAGATTTTGTGAATTAATTCCAAAACAAATTTCATATAAATTATTTACATTTAATGAATATAATCAATATCCACCCACTGGTATTCTACAATTTGAATAAGATGATCAATTGTCATCATTAATGTCTTCTACACAATTCACATTTCCTAGATTTGATAGACAAAATGTGATCGAAGAACAGTCAGTCAATTATTTGTATTATTGTAATCGCGATATATTCCTTCTATCTATCGATGGTCAACATCAATGTTTATACCCACCAAGTTATACAGGTGATCAATGTCAATATCAAACTGAACGCATTACAGTCTATTTACAAATTCAAACACTATCGTGGACTGAGCGTCACATTGTTTACAAACTCCGAATTCGTATTCAAACACAAAGAAATTTATTTTATGATTATATTGATTTATATCATGCACACTACAATGAAACCATTTATAAACATATTGTTTAGCTGAGAACTCCAAAATTATATGAGCAATATTCTGTTTCTATTGATATTTTTTATGTTTCAGTAACAGATATACAATTTTATTCATCTTTCTATTATGATATTCCTTTTCTATTTCTACCTGTTCATCGTTTAGCCGTAAAATTGATACTGGATAGAAAGAGTGAAAAATGGAATAAAGAACAAAAGATATGTTTACATGGTAGTTGTATGACCTATTCGAATAATATTAGTCAATATTTTTGTTTATGTGATAAAGGTTGGTCAGGTACATTATGTAATGTAACAACATCAGAACTAACTTGTTCTCAAGGTTTATTATCCTATCATTCACTTTGTTTATGTACACTTGGAAAATTTGGTTATGATTGTTTTGCATCAATCGATTTGTGTCAAAATGTTAATTGTTCTAATGGTGGCACATGTATTCCCTTGGACATTAAAGCACTCCAATATTTATGCATTTGTACCGAATCGCATTGTGGTGACAAATGTCAATATCAAACAGCTCGAATTCAAATCGATATAAAAGATCTTTGAAAAGATTCCTCAACAACTAAAATTCCTCTAGTACTAGTTCATTTTACAAATATAACAGGTCAAATTACTTCAACTGCAACATACGATCGTGTTATTTATCTTAATGTTGAATTTAATACAAGTATTATTACTTTCTATGAAAAACAAGTTTATCTTTCAACGTTTGTTTTTGTACAACTGTTTTTGAACAGAAATGATTATTACGGATCTTACTATTTAGTTGCTCTTTCAAAGTATCAAGTAGGATCAATACGAACAAATGTTCTTTTGTCAAACCGTTGTCCATATGTTAGTAAACTTTTAAATAGTACAATCATGTCATACGCATATCTGAAACGTATTAAATATTATCATCGTCCATCTTTTATTCTGGGTACAAAATGCTTTCATGACGAAAAATACATATGTTTATGTGACAATGAAGCACATGTCGATTGTTTTCTATTTGATCACAAAGCAAGTAATTGTTCACAACAAGGTTATTGTCTTAATGGTGGACATTGTTTACAACCAATACAAAAACAATCAACAACTGATTTCGGATGTGTTTGTCCAAAATATTATTGAATGTTTTTTGTATATAGTTGTCATCGATACGAGGAGATAGGCGAACAAAAGTGTCAGACAATTGATCAAAAGTAATATGTGAATGATGTATTACGGTGAATTGTGTCAATTTACCACAGTAAAATATTCGATGTCCTTGAATGCTTTGTTAGGACAAGATATTCGTTCAGGTAATAATTTTCAACAACAACCAGTTATTATCAAAATAACTTTTTCCATCATCGTTTTAATGGTTTCAATTGGTTTTATTAGTAATACATTTTCTGCAGTAACATTTCTTCAATCCAAAACACGAGAAACGGGTTGTGGTTATTATTTATTTATTTTATGTGTAATAAGTCAATTTGGTCTATTGGCATTTGGTTCAAAGTTTTTCTATTTGATCAAAATACATATGGCAACAACTCAAAACCATCAGTTATTTATGTGTAGAATTTGTGTGGTACTTGACTTATTAATGAGCATTATACAATATACATTGAATCCCCACGTCTTGAATCTTGAATCCCCACGTCTATTTTTATCATTTGGATTAGCATGTATAACATTTCTATGGCAAAAATATTTGTATTTGAGTAGTTATCTGATTTCTTTCATACCGTTAATGGCAACTCTATTGATTTTCGTTTTACCGAATGATTCATATAAAAATGAATTAAAAGGATATTCGAAACGTATGAAAACGGAAGTAACAGCAACGATAGGAATGGGTAGTATTTCATTATAGAGAAAATGAGAAAAGAGAATAAGAGGAGCCAGACTGGATTAGCCAAGTAGATATAAATTAAAATTTTAATATTTTCCAATTTTTTATGTCCTTTTCCTGTATCAAAATAAATAATATCCAATAACACTCTTTGAACGATAATAACCACCACTTTTATTGTGATTCCTTCAGCTGCCGAGTGATTCAGTTATATTGCTGAACTGGAAGACCGTTCAAGCTCGTAACATGATCAGCGGGTTATTGAACACACGCCAATATGACTATCGTCTCTGCGTTATCATCGATAAAAAATACAAAACTGTCAGACGAAAATGAATCATATGTTTTAAATAAATGTTCCACAAATAAAACTGTCAATATATTATACTGCAAAAAAGCGAACGCTAAATAGATATGCACAGCACGTTCTTTTCCAACAAACACTCTAACCCCCTCACCCTCGAGAGGTGACAAGAATAGCTATTGCCATCTACAGGCTGTGTCATCAAGAGCTACTGACACCACTAGGTTTAGAGGTGGTAGGAAGAGCTATTGACACTGTGCAACATATGTTGAACAGCACGAAACGCAATTTAGAGCAATTCATTGAGTGTTTCTTCCTGCCACCTCTAAGCAGGGAACCTCTTGAGATTATAAATCGCTTTAGCACTCAGACTTTAGTCAGTTTTTTGGCTATGGAACCTGGATTTCGAGCAAAACCCGACTTTCGAATTTTGATTCCAAACTTACCACACTTGCAGCCAGCCCATGGTCATAGTAGTACGACGGAAAAGTATTTGATGCTAATGAACTTTCCTGCCTTGAGATATAGAGACTCAAATACTTGACCCTCACCCTTACCTTCTGGTGAAATGTTCGAGTCTCAATATCTCAAGGCAGGAAGTTCATTAGCATCGAATACTTTTCCGTCGTACTACTCTGACCATGGGCTGGCTACCAGTGTGGCAAGCTTGAAATCAAAATTCGAAAGTCTGATTTTGCTCGATATCCAGGTTCCATAGGCAAAAACTTACTAAAAATCAGTAACAAAGCACCATGGACACAAACTAACCTGGGATATTTCACTACTGGCTGAGATCTACAAGATAAAGTAGTCTGAGTTCAAAAGCGATTAATAACCTCAAGAGGTTCCCTCATAAGTCTGGTGGTGTCAGTAGCTCTTGATGACACCTCCTGTAGGTGTCAATAGCTATTCCTGCCACCACTTAGTCGTGTCAGTAGACATTGCTGACACCTCCTAGTGTTGTTAATAGATTCACCCTGCATTGCTGTAGTATGACGAGAGTCGTAACAAGGTATCAGACTGATCTGGAAAAGGAAACATATAGCTTTGAGCAAGGAGGATAATGGCTGAAGCGCATAAGCCAGCATGCGATCGCAATGGTCTGACTCTTCTTTCCGAAGGGGTCGGGGATTCGACGAGCATGAGGGTGAGTATACGACTAGGAATACTGCCTCTATCTTTCATACACATAGAGATATGTGTAGACATTTTACCATGAGATTGTGCATGAAAGATAGGGGCAATATTAATAGTCAAATACTCACCCTCATGCTCCTCGAATGGGATTTTTCTTTTAGAAAACTGTAGCCTGCAATTTCGATCTTTTTTGGCATTTTGTATTCTAAAATGCAAAGAAAAACGGACTTTACAGAGAAGGAGATGGGGAGCATGAGAGTGAGTAACGAAATACCATTTCTGGCTACAGATAGTTTGATTAGTTTTATTGTTGCATTTCTAGATTTCAGCAAAGCATTTGATAAGGTGTCTCACGAGGGTTTGATACTTAAGCTGCGCAGTAAAGGCATCTCTGACGGTGAATTAGTTTAGTAGTTATTTGTCAGATAGGAAAATTCTTACATTACTTAATGGGATGTCGTCTGATCAGTTGTAAATTACGTGTGGAGTCCCATAGGGTTCTGTCCTTGGATCACTCCTGTTCTTAATATGCATTGACGATCTTCCCAACTCTGTTCATTTCATGTGTAAGCTGTTTGCTGATGATGTCTCTCTGTATTCAACCGTGAATGATTTGCAGAGAGCAGCAACTGTCTTGAACAAAGATCTTAGGATTATACATCAATGGGCAACGACATGGGCACTCCCTTTAAATACTCTTAAATGTACAGCCATATTCTTTACTTGTCGTATTGTATCATCTCCACCACCCTTATACATTGCGAATACAAGACTGAAGTATACTGATCAACATATGCATCTTGGCCTTATTCTAACTCCGGAAGAGCATGCTTCAGGGTGAAGCGTTCAGGGAAGCGTTTCGGAATATTGTGCCTAGAGAAAAACGTATTGGAAACTGAATGTTCTGTATTATTGTCTTCGGAATCAGCGCAGAGAAATGCTTTCTTCATGGCGAATTATCCTAATCACGCTACTCTACTTAAACTTCCTTAAGTTCAGTTTACTAACTAATCGGAACAGAATGAAAAATATATATTTTCAGTTGTGCGTTCGTGTGGTACAGCGGCGTACGGAGAAGATTAATAATCTTCATATACAGAGTTCGAATCTCTGCAAAAAATTTCTCCTTTTCGTTTTTTTTCCCAGTATTTCTTTCTATATCTGTAAATATGTACCCGCTGCAACTAGTAGTGAAGCGGGTTAGCGGGTTTGTCCCGATGCAGCTAGCTACACCCCCTGATTTTATTCTATTAGCTACTATCCATTTCAATGAACAATGGAGTCGGTTGTAAGTTGAATAACTCCGAATTGGAAGCAGCTAGAGACCTGCGGTTTTCAACATTCGAAAGAGAATAATATTCTTTATTAAGTAATATCGAAATCTGGTTGGTCAGCAATTGACCAATCAGGTGAGTTTTCGCTTGACTTATCGGGCACTGCCTGGAGAAAAGATTCTCCGTTGGATTTGAAATTCTAATACAACCATTCGATAGAGAAAATTGTTCTCTGTTGATGTACACAAGGCCCAGCTCTTTAGCTTGTGCTTATTCAACTTACAGCCGACTCCATTGTTCATTGAAATGGATAGTAGTTGCAGTTAATCAAGCAACGAGCGCTTCTTCAGCAAGAACAGCTAGCTTATTTCTTATGAAATTTCATACTCGGGTATACTGAACCCGCCGCATTACACTGAATCGTAACATTTTTTCCTCAAAAATATTTTACACTCAAATTACTTGATGCAATATCACACTTATTTTTTAATATAAGTACTCCAAGACTGAGGAAAATGGAATATATCTGCCCACTGTGCCGTACTCTGTCTTATCATAATTAGCTTTTTTAAACAGCTTGAATTGTACTTTTCACCGTCAAATGTACATAAAACACTGTACTCATTTATATCTGTAAAAAGCATTTAAATAAAAGAAGATAGGGAACTAGATGAAAAATGTCTTTTTTTCCATGAACGTTTTAGATAGATGAATTCTTGCAGATCGAACGTAAAACAATAGACACAATCTATTATATCTCTAGCACTTATATCAGTAAGATCGTCATTATTACTGTTTAAAATAATGCGTGACTAATTAATCCACTAGTATCGATCATTTTGTTCAATTAGTAACAATATCCGATACATTTTTCTAAGTAATAATCATATTTTTCTGGTAAATACATTAAACATTTTTCATCAAATTCATATAATTGTAATTTACGAAATTCTTCGACCATTTCAGATGAAAATTTAATTACAGATTTTTGTTTATATGGTAATTTTATACGTTGAGTTAAAAATGTTACATCAATAGTGTTCAATGCATTAATGGCTTGTTCTACTATTTTTACATCATATGTTGCTAATAAATTAATATTTGCAATAAAATAATGCTGACATACTTTTTGTTCTAAACTTTGACAAAGAAAATGAATAAAACGGTAGATTAAACTAATTGAAATGTTTTGTTCATTGTTTTCATATTTATAATCACTATCAAGATTATTTAATTCACATATCCATAATATACATGTCTTTATAATATACAGTAGGCGCCAAATGAATTTCCCCCCTACGTATTTTTCAGAGAAAAATGACAGGATCCATTCTTTTCTCATTTTTCTACACGTAGAAAGAAAGCGCAGAATTTGCTGCATCAGACCCCATCAAGAGCACAAAGTAAGGATGTGATTTTGATAGTGAAAATTTTGTTGAAAGAAAAAGATGTCAAAATTCGTTGTCCCAAAACTTATTTTCCTCTTGATTATTGTCACAAAGGTGCTCATTTACATAAAAGGTTGATCTCGATGAACATCGCTCTTTGCCGTAATGGCGCATTTTCGATATGCGTTACGAATTTCTTTTGTCGATAAAGTAAAAAAAGTGTTCGATAAAGACTCGGGGATATCGTTCGCTTGTAATGGATGTTGTTTTCGAACAATTTCCTTGAATGAATGCCACAAGGGATTGTCCAATGGTGATAGATATTTGGTAGATATGTATGATTATTCGGTCATATATTCATCTAAAAACTAAGAAAATCATTAAATATTTTGAACAATGATCACCCCTTTTAAAATACGCCTTTAAAAATCAGTTTTAATAAAGATGAACACTTTGGACAAAATCGCAAAATACGAGCCTAATTTTCCCATAACGAACAAAAAAATGTATGAATAGTCAGTTTTCTTTGCTTGAGGAAAAAAGTGCCGTGCGTCTGATGCAGTACTGTGTGGGATGTTTAGGATGGGGGAAGCCTTAAAAGACTAATCGATAAGCCATAGACAGTTAAAAGAGTTTTTAGAGCAATGTATCTGTCCTGTGTATACTATAACGACTGGGTTGAAGAAGAAAAAACTCACCCTCACCCTCACTACTAAAAGCTGCGCAGAAAAATGTAGATCGGTTAAAAGTAGTGACCATTTCGTAATCGGTATTTCACTAATTAAAATATCAAGTCAAAACAAACTGCTCACATGCAGAAAAATATTATTAACCCCTACCTCGAGTACTTTTGTTTTGTGCAATCTTATTGAAAATCGCTACTTTGCTCCTGACTGTTTTGTTTTAACTTTCATGCCTGCTCAAGTGTGTTCTATGCGACTTTCATCGTTAAAAAAACAAAATTCTTTTAAGGAAGTAACATTGAAAAACTTCGAAGGGTTTAAAATTTCGTAAACGATCAATAAATCAACACACGTTTGTGGTGATGACCCAAGGGGGGAAAAGCATACTTCTGTACTTCTCGGTACTTCTCCGTACTTCTTGATACTTCTTCGTACTTCTTCGTACTTCTTCGTACTTTTTTGTACTTCTCCGTACTTCTGAAGTACGAAGTACGAAATACGCTTTTCCCCTTTTCATACTTCGTACTTCAGAAGTACGGAGAAGTACAAAAAAGTACGAAGAAGTACGAAGAAGTATCAAGGAGTACGGAGAAGTACCGAGAAGTACCGAGAAGTACAGAAGTATGCTTTTCCCTCGTTGTGATGACCTGATCACTTTATTCAGACTTAAGCAAAGAGCATCTAGCATTTCTACTATCCGCTCATAAAAACATAACACTCATAAAAACAATCATCCCCAGAATTTTTCGAATAACTTTTTAACGGTAAGAGCTAGAATCATGCGTTTTTAGTATTCGATAGAGGAGATGATAGGGAGTGAAACTGAGAAAAAATTAGGGCTCCGATTCAGGTCTACCACGGTAAATCTCGCTGTAGAAAGTCCAAAAGCTGTCCATTTCGAAGTAAAAAGAGGATTATTAATTTTAAAATATTGATTCTATTCTCTGTAGTGTACTCTTTATAAGTGCACAAGTCCCGCCTCTACATCTCTTTTGGTTTGGGAGTTACAGGGATTTTCCGAAGACCTATCTATTCACTAAAGTTGATGTTGGGAGCTCCCAAAATATATGGAATATAGATTAACGCCTCTCCTGGCTCTCATAGTAATGTTAGTTTGTCAGAAAAAATTCAAAAACCTCGTGAAAATCAATATTAGCCCATTTTTGCCTGTTGTCACGTAAAATTAGAAAATTCACAACTCACTCAAAATTAATCCAAACTATGCCAGAATACCGTGGTATACTCGATTTTATCTGCTTAATACGGTTCTGTAGTTAAAATGAGTAAAAACTATTCTGTGCTCACTGAAGACTTCTGGAAAACCAACCGACTATAGGGAGGGTTGCTTTAAAAACTAATTTTTTTTTCAGCGTCAGTTATCGACACTTATACACTTTTTATTCCGGAAATTAAGCACAACTGATCCTATTTACTATGTAATTTCGCACCGTTTTACTCTACTGTAATTTCGCACAAATGATCCCGGTTTTCCTAATAATTTTTAATTAGTTATAAAATAACACAACTGATTCCGGAAAAAGTAAATCGTTTTTCATTGGCTATTTTTCTAAATCAAGTTAGATCCTCGTTTGTATATGAAGAAAAAAGTACTTAAAATATTGCTGATACCGTCTTTTAGGTCAATTTATGTCTTGTAAAAGTAATTTCTTCCTATTGAAATGACGTATCAACGTTTGTCTGAAATCAATGCTGGATTTTTCAAAAATATTATTTTGTCTAAGAACGACATCGTCTGATGGAATCTCAAAATAATCTATGTAAAAAACGTATTTTGAGCTTATTTTCCATAAGAATAACTGAAAAATGAGGCCAAACGTCTTTTCTACAATAGCCAAGTCAAAATGACTAAAAGAAACGAGGAACCATTTTCTGGTGAAGTTAACCACCATCCTTTGTTTATCGAGACGGCCTACAGCCCTTACTTATTGTTACCGAAATAGTTTTTTAGGGTGGAATGAGCCCTAAATCTAGCATTCTGATCATAATCTCCACATAATAGTGTATTAGGCAATGTAACATATCATCGTTGAAAAATCCACTAGATGGAGTCGAAGGTGAAAAGTAATGGTCATCCTCTTATCTTGTGCCGCAAGCCTCCATAACTGACGGGTTTACGAATATGAAAAAAACAATAACATGGAATCTTTATTTTCACTAGAAGTGATACTACGATTAAAACACTGCAACGGAACAAATAGCATCTAAATTTTCTTTGAAAAAAACACATTAGGAAATCCATATTGCTACATTTATGTTATCTAAAAAGTACCGCTTTATTTGTCTTCTTAGAGATGACGTTTGCCAAGACTGATTCCCTCTGTTCCGATTCCTGCCAGAACTTGAGCACCCAGTAATGCCGCAGCTGAAATTCAGATATACAATAAAAATGATGACATATGTGAGCATGGTGAATTGATGTGATTCTTACTTTGCACAGCTTGTTCAATTGGTTTTAGAATTCCGACCAAAAGATCATTCCAAAATCCCCGAAGTTGAGCTTCAGTCATTTGTACCGTTCGTCCATTTGGAGCTGGAATACCTTGTTCAGCAATACCGGCAAGTAATTGAGCACCAAGTAAGGAAAGTGCTGGAACAAAAATACAATAGGATTTCTTGAGAAACGATACTTATTTTTACTCACTGGTAACAAGATGATTCAATGGTTTATACAAAACTGTTCCGTAAAAGTCAGAGATAAGACCGCGTGCCTCAGCTTCGAATTGTTGCTGGGCAGTCTGAACATGTGCTAAATCTAATCCAAATCCACATGCGCAAACTCCAGCCAAAACAGCTAAGAAGAAAATTTTCTGTTGCATTCTAAATTTAAAGACTATACTTGAAATAAACAATGTATAATGAATATCTTGAAAATATATATTACCTAAGTCTTGAAAGAGATCGAGAACTAATAATGGCATAAAATTATTTCTTTATATAATCTTTTTATGAGAAAAAGCCTAGCGTCTGTTTTAGTTCCCACAGCATTAATGGCCCTATAATCACATTTTTAATCAGTTGCATTGATTTGCCGCCATTCTTTTATACGATGAGATAGTTAACATAAGACCTATAATATCTAATATACTTACTATACACTAGTTTTTTTTAAAAAAGAATATGATGCAGTAGCAAAGTGCCAAATACGTTTCAAAATCAACCTAGGCACGAATATGTCTGCCTTTCTCCTCGAAGTACTGATAACCCTTTTGCATAAGGACTAATAAAGCATCGACTATGGAAGGACAAAATCCATATTTGCTTGAATTCAGGAGGTTTGGGGAATTAATCAAAGAAGGTAAATGATTGTAAACAAGTTTTTCAACGACTTTCTCGAAATCGTTCCGAGCAACCGTTAAGTACGCGCTTCGAATCTTGTATTGCTATTTTAGATAGCTCTCTCCATTATTTAGGTTAAATATGCAGTAAAACTCTACTGTATCATTAGTACAGTCGATCCATTACGTTCAATATTTTATTTCTCAATAGTACAGATCTAAAACTTCAATCCTATAGGGGAGACGTTTCAGTTTCTGGATAAAGACATATTAGATGGTATTAATCAGAAGATTAGTTACATACTCCATGTATTGTGGACTGCAGATATTATACGTATCGCACTATTGGTGCGCAGTTTTGGTAGATCATCTATTGTTAGCCTTAGCAGCTGGTAAGTATTCGTTCCATAAATAAGTGAGTGCAAAGATTTTTGAAATAATTGGAGAACGAAAATAGTTAGAGAGCGCGGCTTTCAGATAATTTTATAATTTCTGGTAAAAGTAGCTAAAAACAGGTTATTTATTTCATCTAGTCATATTTCACATACCGTGCTTATCAAAATTGATAGAAAATAATGCTGAATCTAATTCTGTACTTAAGATCACTAAAAAATATTCCCTTCTTTTCCGGACATTTTTGGAAAGCCTTTCCAGGAAGCAAGATATTTTCCATTGATTTTTAAACGAGCTCTATAATGTAGTGCACATACGATCAGCTAGATCCTGAAAGATTTGATTAATGATTTATTTTGGATGACTTCTGCGTTTTTGAGTTTTTAGCGAAAATAGATAGTGATCGAACACTACCTATCAGATAACTATTCGAGTATTAGAGATCGATATTATGCAGAAGAATAAATGTCGTAAAGGTCTCATTTTATAGGAAGTTCATTACTTCAGCATTTCAGATAACCTTTGAGCTTTTGAATTGGACAAAAAACGTTTTCACAGGTTTCTAGAAAAATCAGTTTTACAAAAATCCTCTCGAATATCATCTACAGGTACGGAAAACAGAAAGAAGCAATTTTTTATTTGAAATGGTCCCGGAGGACCCTCAGCCCTCTGCTCCTAATTAACGTATTTCATCTTACGTCCCAAAAAAATTAGATATCATTATTTCTATTCAGCTTTTGATATTGAATAAGGAAGAACAACGTCAAATGTCCAGAGCAAACCAGGAGACAATAGTCTAAATATTTTCGAAAAGTAGGTGTGTTACTTTAAAAAAACACAACTTTCAAAACTCAAAAAGAAACTATTTTAAAGATGGTAGAGTAACAGAATTAAGCTTGTCAGAAAAGTGGAACTCAAATGATTTGATAAAAAGATGGATGCTTCCTGAAGCTAGATCCGTTTGTGTTTCGTAGTTGCACGCAGACGGTGCATCGTATCCTTAACGGCTTTTACGACGAACGAACTGGAAACAAACTGATGCAACATTTTGCACTCTGCAATATGTCCAAAATTTGAGATTTTCGTGTTTCTATTGTTTCGATCTTTACTTACACCTTCTCTTGGTAAGGGTATATCCTTTTTTTTCGTCGTGTATATTGTTTTTTGGAAACAAAGATAAATCTTTATGGTTTATAGTGCTTTTTATGCTCGAATTTCGCAGAACACAGCTGCGATCACTCAGTTGTAAAAGAAATGGTAATATTTTATCGACATGCGCTAGGAGACACATTTAAAACAGTATATAGTGTGACAGCGGCTTATTTTACTTTCACCCATTCATATATATACATCTGTCAATACCTGAGTTACAGCACTACCCAAAGCGCCTCTTCCTATCTGTTTGAAGAGTCTTTCTCTATATGCAAAACACGAATTATCTAACGTATGTCGAATCAACTTGACGAAAGTATTAATTGATATGTTACTAATTTTGAACTTTTTCTCGCTGTCAGTAGCCTACACAACGCAGATATTGACTGTTTCTGATGGTTCACCGTATACAAACCGGTTATATCAAAAGCGGTCAGGATGCTGTCTTCGGTTATGGGATGCTTTTCGAGATGGTTCGAAAACGCATCTGTATTCTCTAATGTATAATGAGTCGTATGTTGTCCATATCTCGGTCGTAATGTTTTGTCTAAGAATTGTGATATACGTTCTACAGGAGATTTTAGCTGCACTACTATTGGCCTCAATGGTGCACCTGATTTGTGATCTTTTGAATTATAAGATAAATGTGGTAACTCGCAGTCTGTTGGCAGTTTCAATTCCTCGTATACCTTTCTTGGTATATGATTTCTGCTGAATAAGTCGTTTAACAGCAGGTTCGTACTCTCAGTCCTTTTCTTCGGCGGATGTTTATTTATTTCTATATAGGCTTCGCAAAGCCATTTTCCAAGTAGTCTCGGCTTTTGTGCAAACTATGGATCTTTGGTAGAATGCTGCTTTTCATATTTCTTTTTTCTTCGATCAATCACGACTTTTATTTCATTTCGTAATCGTCCCAGGGCCTCAGTATTGTTCCGATAAACATGCCTTTCCGTAACATCTGTTTTTGTCGTGGCATCAGTAATGTCGCTGTGTTCGTCGCCTGGAATAGTAAACCATACGTTGCGTGATAGGAATGGCAGGCACCTGCCTTAACTATCGCTCGCTGGCTTCTTTTAATCCTTGTTCTAAAAAATAAAGCTTAAGCTCAAGATTTTTTCTGTCAACTTTTTCTCTTATCGTAAAATGTCTGTCAAGAATTTCTTGGTATTGTTGCGACAGTCTGGTTTTAAACATCACAATTTGGTCATCAATCTTTCTGATTTCTAATTTTTCTCATCAATCATATATTTCAACACGGTTAATTTTACTTGGAAGATAGCCAAATTCGAGTCGTTTTGACTTGACGGTATTTCAGCGTCCCCGTTTTCAATTTTAGTTTAAAGTTTTATATCACTTTCGGCATAAATAGACACTCATTTAACAAGCGACGCTGAGCATACGCCTCTGAGTTAAAATATGGATAAGACATTGCATTAATTTTGGGTAGTTGCCTAATTCGAGTTGGAATATAAATGCATATTCTTTATATCTATATCTATATCTATAAATATAGATCTACATCTATATCCATATACATATATATATATTCAATGATATATACATACATAGGTAGGGATATGTCCTGTAGTTGTAGATTTAGTTTTATTTATACATACATACATAGATAGGTAGGGTATTTTAGACTTTTAGACATTTGGACTTTTAGAGATACAGTCTTTAGACATTCAGTTTTTTAGACTTTTAGACATACACCATATTTATTTCGTGCCGCCTGGCATGTTGTTTTTTCTCTCACTCTCACTACTCCCACCTTGAATCTAACGTCCAACAATTGCTGCAAACCCACTCGCATACAAAAACATACGTTTTAGATATGATTACCCCGAAATAAAACTAAATCTATTCCTAACTAAATCTGCGTCTACAGGACATACCCTATCTATCTATGTATATATGTATAAATAAAACTAAATCTATTCCTAATTAAATCTGCATCTACAAGATATAATCCTACCTATGTATATATATTGTTATGTCCAACCATTTATTTTCGAAGTGATAGTAAGCAGTTGAGATCCATTTATATTCGAACTCGAATCAGGCAACTCATGTTAATTTTATGAAACTAAGATAGAGACTAGGTAGGAATTTAAGCTCTGTAGTGCAGATGTAAACCAGGAAAATTCTTTTAAGTTTATTTATCCATCCTGGAAAAGAGAGAACTAGTCATTTTTTGATTCCTAAAAGGTCTCTCATAACACACTTTCCGTGAAAATAAGTTTGTAGGTTTACCTTTAGACTGATGGTCTGCGTGAAGAAGCTATTGGAGATGTACCATAAAGCATTTCACTACAAAGAACACGAAGAAGAATTCGTATCGAAAATTATTACAGCTGTGATATTTCAAAGATCATTAATTGGCTCAATCGTTCAAAATGCACTCAGTAGTAATCCATTCCAGCAGAAGATAAACTCAGCAAAAGATAGCTCCACTGGAAGTACGTATGCAACAGCTATAACAAATGGTTCAAGTCCTGCAAGAAACAAATGACTATCTCAACTATAAAACAAACAATTTAGAACAATATCGACGAAGATGTTCACATTTATTAAGCGATATCCTATAGTATATCGCTTCTACCATCATAAATCTTTGACGACGAAAATTCATCGATGATCCATTTTGTCTCAGTGCAATAATATTCGGACCAATCTTTTGGTTTTATTGTTATTAAAGGTAAACTTTGTCTTACGGTATCGGATTCTGATCTAAAAGAATCGAAACAATTTCACAATAAAAGAATTAAATACAAATCGGTTTACAGGATTTATGAAATACCGTTTTCTTACCTGCTTGGCAGTGTTTGAATGATTTTATGAATATTTTCAAGTTTTGGATCAGCAATCATTGTTACTAATAATGTATTTGATTTTGATATAATTAAATAATCATTCGTTGCTCTTATTTCACGTATATTTTCGATAAATAGCTTTCCAATTTGTTTTCCATCTTCTATCCGAAACATATATAGTTGTCTAGTATCTTTATCAATCACAAATAAATATGTTCCACTCTCATTTAAACATAACTTGTCACATTTTGATTTTATCGTAATTTGACCTCTCAGTTTACGGTTTAGATCATAGGTGACGAGTTGATGATGAATTCCGTTAGTAGTGTTTCGCTTATATTTAACAAATCGATCCGTTTTCAGATCATAAATATCGGCATAGCCTAGTTTTATGTGAGGCTGAACATTTGTTTCAGTATTCCATATACGAAAATGATTTGTATTATCATGTAAAATAATCGTCGCATTATTTGTCATACCATAAATTTTACGAATATCGTATAATAAATGATCTGCAGTTGATATGTACTCAAGAGTTTGAGTGACCATATCGTATAGAGCCAAGCTGGAATAATTGTCAGCTAAAATAGCTAATTTTGATTGAGTAACTGTACTAATCATTGTTTTATACTCAAATTTTAGTTCAGTTAGATATATTAATGTAGGATTACCATCGGCGGTGATTACAATTTTCGATAAAGTTGAGTGACAGCTGTCGAGAATGTAAAAAGACTCTTCAAATGAATGAATGTAAACAGAAGAATCAAATATCGTCTTAAATAGGCATTGTTTAACACCTGTTTCAATCGAATAAATATAGACATTATTATTTGAATCAAGAACTAAAAGATATGATAATACGATGGTAGAATAAACTATAGTATAATCGGATAATTCTATATCCAAAACACTTGTTAATCCATTGATAAATGACCAAACGATTACACGACTGTGAAAAAGAAATATTAAAGCAGTTAGAATGCCTTAAAATAATAATAATTTACATAGATGTTTATCTGAAGTTCCACTAATCTTAAACTCAAACAGTTTTTTTTTAACATACTCACAATTTACTTCCATCAATTGTTATGGCAAAATTATTTCGAATATAAAATTTTGAGATATCGAATAGGGGCAAACTTGGCGGAGAAGAAACATTAGTAGTTAATGGAAATTTCATCATTGTTAAATCGTATTTGTAAACATCACCATTCTCTAATGTACATAAAGCGTAATAGCCCCAGTTACCTAGCAATGAGAAAAGGATTCATTATATCGTAGTTAGCGTACAAATGACCGAACCCTCCCCCCATGCGATGTTTCGCACATCGCACTTTTCTTTTTGGTGGAAAACTGCCCTACGTTAGGGGCGTTTTTCAAAACTTTTTGCTCCAGACTAGCCTTCTATCATAGAGGAGGGAGTTAATTAGTGATATCAGCATCGATTTTCACAGGGACTCTTGAGGTTGAATGTTTACCGACATAGTACGAAGTTTCACACTGTGAAAAAAAGAGTGTGTAAATGAAAGTGAACGTCTTGCGATTCCTAGTGACGGTCTATAATGCACGGCGTAGGTATATAAAATACACACTGAGAAGTGACCATCTAGCTTTACACATTGAAATCAATGATATAGTCTAGTTGTGCAAATCGTCAGAATCGAAAATACTTGAGATTTATTGATCGGTTGTTCGAATTTCACATACAACAATGTCTTTTTTCACTTTTTTTAATGTGTTTTGCCTCAAAATGTCAGTATATATAGGGTGCCCACAATTCAAAAATGCAGCACTATCTCGGTCGAAAGCTCCATAGTCGGATAGCCCTAACTGAGCTGATTTCGAATATTACCTTTTGATTCGAATTCGATCAAGTTTCCGAGGAGAAATCCTCAAGATACTGAGAAGGTATACAAATCTTCAAAAAATGCCATCTTCTTCTGAGAAAACAACGTGAAGCTTTTACCATTCCAGTTTCTGTTCTCGTTAATGTGATTTTTGGATTCCTCATATAAAATTGAGAATGCAGAAATGTTGTCTAGAGCTTCATCGCATATTACATGCTCATTCTAAAAAATCCATGATGCAGTATCTCTGGCGATAATAGTACCTAATTTTTTAAACCTGTCTAATTTTTCTGTTCTCACATTGGCGAGAACAGAAACTGGAATGGTAAAAGCTTCACGTTGTTTTCTCAGAAGAAGGCGGCGTTTTAGAAGATTTGTATACCTTCTCAGTATCTTGAGGATTTCTCCTCGAAAACTTGATCGAATTCGAATCAAAAGGTAATATTCGAAATCAGCTCAGTTAGTGCTATCCGACTATGTAGCTTTCGATCGAAATTTACGATAGTGCTGCATTTCTGAATTGCGGGCACCATACTTCTGAAGATGGTAATCACGATCTTGACGTTATTTTGCCATTTGATGCAGTAGCTCGCGAGAAAAATAGAGAGTACTCAAATGTTTTAACACACTGAAACTGACAGTCTAAAAAAAGTAGACATTTTTCGATACAGAGTGAATGTTTAGGCCATTTTACACACCTACTAATACACTTTTATTTTTTACAGTGTACGTTAGACAGTTTGATCATCTGACACTTACGCCTAAGAAGTACTGCTCCTACAATGATTGACATGGATTGTACATCAACATGAGACAGTAAAGTATAACTGTGAATATATGTATCTGTTATTTTATCTTGTTTACATTCCTAACGATAAATGTCGACTGTATGATCTGCTGTACATAAAATAACCTTATTATCCGTCAGCCATCGTCGATCAAATGGTTTCACATCTTTATAATTCAATCCACTTGCCATCGGTATTTTAACGTAAGCATATGTCGATGGAATATAATTTTTATGTATTTCATAATCTATATTTTCACAATCACAACTATGAATAATGTACATTTGATCACAATCAGTAATATAAACAAATCGTGGTTTTTGTTTATGATTAAAAAGTTTAAAAGCATTAGTAAATTGACCGGTAATTGATGGTTGAAATTCGACAACTCTTGTTTGTATAAATCTTTTATCCTCATATAAATTTACATTGTCGAAGTCGGTTATATATGGAATGTGATAAAATAACATTTTTGTTTCATCTAAACAACAAACATCAGTACACACATTTATTAAATCTGAATAAACAATTAAATTCGTATTTATGTCTGTCATTGTCTGTCCAAGTTTAATAAATTTTTTATTATCAAAAATTATTAAATATTCAATCTTGTCATTTCTTAACTGAATTTTGATAAGAAAATATGATTCATTTGTTATTGTATGTGATCTTTGCGATTTGACAGAAAATATTTCATCTGTATAATTTGTTCTATGAATGAGTTCATTTTTTGAAATATTTCATATTTCAATATAATTTGTATTTTTTTGACATGTCAAAATATAATCATCACCGGTAAAACAAACATATTCCCAACCGGTCTGATGTTGATCGATGTCTTTTCGAAATACTTGTTCACCATTTTCAGCTTTA